TGAAAAGTACTTTTTGAATAGTTATTGGTTATATATAATTTTTTTTGGTTTCAAGAAATGCATGAAATTTTCACTTCGTATGATTGTAAGCTTCTTGATTCAATATTGTCGCATGGAATTTATATTAAAAGACATGTGCTAGTAATCTTTTTTGGTTTCAAAAACGCGTGAAATTTTCACTTTGTATGATTGTTGAATAAGCTTCTTAATTTAATAGTGTCGCGTGGAATTTCTATTAGCTACATAAGGGGTCAGTCAATTGACTTATAATTTACTTTTCAGGCTTCAAAATCGCGTGTTTTAGTAAAAATAGTGTCTAATCACAATCAAATCTGATACTGATTATTTCATGTGGTTTTTTTATACTTTGAAAATGGATAAACTGCATAAGAGTCAATCAACAGACTTGATACAGTAGTTTTGTGTAAGATAAACTTACAAGCTTCAATAAAGGGAGATTCAACAGACTGTAGTTTTTGATGGAAACTCATGTAAGATAAACTTTTCAGGTTTCAGAATCGCGTGTTTTAGCAAAAATATCACCATTATATGATGCTTTAAAAAAAGATGAACTTTCTGTGGGGGCCATGGCAATTGACTAATAGATTATCTCTTTTGAATTATACAATATCGAATAATTGCATAATATGAACTGGCTTTTAAGCTTTTATTGTAATTCTGAACAGTATAAAATTTGGCAATAATTTACACTACTATAAAATTATTTTAATTTTAAGAAATTACTTTATCGATACATATCTATAAACTGGTTTTTAAACCAGATTAAAGTATATAACGAGAACAGATAATTGTTATTTTAGCAATATAAAATAACCTGACAATATACGTATTGATTCCAAAAACCTGTTAACATCTCTACACATATGTTATGCTAGCATCTAAGTTTTTGATTGGGGTATGCGATGGGATGTTTGGTCAACTAATTAAATAGACTATTTGTTAAATTAATATAATAAAGAAAATTTATTTGTTTTGTTAGTTAATCCATAAGATTAGTTTGTTTTATTTTTTTGAAAATAAAAGTTTGTGACTTAGTCACGTCAATCAAATTCGGTCGGAATGGGTCGGAATTGTTAAATTTTGCTTAAAATCGTCAAATACACTTGTTGATGAGATCCAATATACAAGAATTTAGTATCTGATAGATAATCCATAATTTCAAGCACTAGGCACGAAGCCGGCAAAACTCTTAACCAAACGCGAACAAGGCATATAAATCCCGTGCGTGGTTGGTTTTTCGGAATCTTACAGAAATGTATCATAATTTTACCCGACTCGGAATATTTTGGAACTCGGCTAGATTATAACGCTGCCCAAATATTCCGCGCATGATTTTTTTGAATCCCGTGCATCACACGCGGTGACCATCACTACGGCTAGCAAAGTAATGGCAGAAAAAATTGGCAGTCCTGTGATGAGAAATTTATTTTTGTTAGTTAGTGCTAGTGTTTCGGGCGAAACCCAATTTTGCAGATCATTTGCAGATAAAATTAGGCAAAACTAGTTTCGGAGGGTTTCGGAGGGTTTCGACTTATAGGGCGAAACTAAAATTCCTCTGAGCAAAATATTTCGGATTTGGAAAATAATTTAGCCTGAAACACTGGTTAATTCGACTCAAAATTATAAATGTGCGAGAGATCCTCGATTTTGATTGGCTAAGAGCGATGATCAAAAATTAGGCAAGAATTACTCCTGTTTGTCTTATTTATAGGTAAAATATAATTCTTTAAAAAGATTTTTAAGAAATAATACCAACGAATTTTAATATATTTTGTTCGCACAATCTTGACAAGTTCACCCTTATAATACAAAAAATGTAGGTTAGAAAAATGATTATTATTTACTAACGTAATACAAATGACGTAATTCGTGATCTTTATGATCTTTTTCATGATTGGTAAATTGCATCTTATTGATGATTGATCAAGTTTATTAGTTTAGGATATATGAATCAATAGAACAATAACTTTATTTTCAGAAGGCAAATTTAAAATGAAGTTCAGCATTATCCTTACTCAACCAGCAAAATAAACATCAATACGGTACAAGGAAATGATGTTAAAAGACAGAATTAAAATAAATCAAAGAAAATTAATTCTGACACTAATAATAGATGACAACATGCAAAAAAATGAACAAATAAAATGCATGTTCTATAAATCCCGATTTCGCAAAACAATGAGCATTAAGTTCACTTACAAGTAAGACTACAAAATGAAAAATAGTTAATACTATACTCAAGTCAAGAATTGAATATGAATGATAAATAATTATATATACTTAATAAACAAAACCATCTTATGAAATTAAAATCATAAAATCATCCATTGATACCGCATAAGACAATAAAACCAAACAAATAACCTATAAAATAATGAGAATTTGCTAATTGCATACCGTGACGAATTTTAGATTCAATATCAAATAAGACTATAAGGCATAAAAATAATTAATACTGTACTCAAGTCAAAATTTTTAAATATCATGACAAAAAATTGATTATATATACCCCCTAACCAAAACATTCCATAAAATTCAAATAAGAAAACCAACCACTGTTAACGTATAAATACCATTTCCACACCGAAATCGCAAATCTTAAAATGAATACAAGAGCCTCAAATCTTTCATCGATTAATAATTGCAGTACTGCAAAAGGACAGAAAATTATGAAATTCATATTGCAGATTGCCAAGTACAAAAAGATGTTTTCGATCTAAGATCTAAATTCTAGGACAGATGCTAATATCTAAAGAAAAAAAAAATTACGAATTCAGCTACAACAATAATAGCAAATTTAAAACATCAATATGCAATATGCAGTAAGACCTCCCTAAGTGCACTCATTGGGACCATAATACCAAAAAAAAAGAAAATTTACACTTGCACTTAAAGAGCGTGCACTTAACGAGCATAGAAATTGGCCCTTCATAATAATAATTATCAGTTATTCTATTTTACAGTGCGTGACCATGTTTCGTTTATATGGCGGCAGATTAACATTTTAAAAAAATACATACAGGGAGGTCTTATTGTACAATTAGCGTGCGTCTATATAATATTAACATGATGATTTAAAAATAACATACTCTAATAATATACAAACAAGTATAAACTCCGAAAGCAAGAATTCCAAAGGTTATATAAACTTTGAGTAAATGGGTTCGTACATCTTGTTTAGTCATTTTTACAAGTTAGAAAAGTTAAAATTTTGGAAATGAAATGGCAATCTGTTCTGCTATATATTAATAAATTAACAGCATAACATTACAATCGAGAAAACACAAAGCAAGTTTTTCGTACTAGTATTGACTTTTTTTTATATATTTATACAGGTTAAATCTATAAAATCCTATATAAGAAATATTATAAAACAAGATTTTTGTTTCCAGTTATTTATTCTATTACGCATAGTATATTGTAGATCTTGTATTTTTCTAATCTTGTTTTTTAAAGATTAGGTATTTTTACTTTATTTTTTTATATTGTTGCCAGTTTTTTTAAATATAATACTGTAATAACACTATATATATATAATAGTACAGTATATTGTAGATCTTGCATATAATGTTCTTAACTTAATCTTGTTTACACGAGAATTCATCGAACTGAAATCTGATAAATTGACTCTCATTCTCCCTTATCCTTTTCATTTACGGCAAGACAGATCCTTCTTTGAATACCTAGGTAATAATTTTTCAGAAAACGCACACAGAATTTAATTAGTGTAGATTATGTATGAGAATAAATGAATTCTGTTCGCATGTTACTCATTATTTTAATGTTAAGGTTGTATCTCGTTTATCTAGGAATTTATCACAAAAAATTTTTGGTTAAATGCCTATCAATGACGCTGATGACTTGGTTCAAATCCAAAATAAGCGTATGTTTTTATTTCTATTAATCAAAAGTAACAAACTCTTTGAATCAATGCGTTTAGTAAATTATGTTTGTGTGTTTATGCTTTCTAGACAATGAAGTGATCGAAGAGAACTTGCTTCACACAGGTAATCTCATTCTTTTTTTTATCTTGTTTTAGCGTAATTAATCAAAAGTAATTAATTCCTTGAATCAATGCATCAATAAATTATGTTTGTTTTAAAATAATTTTTAACAACTCCTTTGCCATAAATGAAACAGTGAATTTTTCTGAATCAATTAAAGACCTTCGAGAAATTGTGCCTAATGGTTCTGAGTTGAACGAAGTGGATTTGCTAAAGAATGGTAACTTGCTTTCCGTTATTTTTGCAATAAAGATCTTTCGCTGAATATTAATAAAGTGGTTCATTTTTTTGAAAGCTGCAATTCTTTTACAATACCAACACATGAGTAACATGCAACTTTTAAAGGAATTGAAAATTAGAGATGCAATAATTATTGAATGTATGATTATTATAATATATAATTTTGTTCCTTAAGTAAACCGCTAATATTTATATTTTATTTCTAGATACTAGAAATTTTGAAATCCAAAATTCTGAAATCATTCGCCTTAGAAACTTCTATAATTATCTTGAAGCAAAGTTGAATAACGTAAAAGAATTTGTGTCTCCAAGTCAAACACTCGTTGAAGAAATACCAAGTCAATTAAACAAGCAACTCGATGAAGTATATGCGCTTGGATTGTAAGAAAATAATAGATTTTGGTTTAGTCATGAGATTTAATATGATTGTAATTTTTGTCTATTGAAATAAATAATTGCGAAAAACAAAATTAGTTTTGAATCAATCTGTTGTTGATTTTATGTCAAACTTTTTGTTATAACCTTGTGCTTAATTTTGAAAAATGACTATAGATCTTTCAAAAAATTAACTATCATATGTGAATTAGAAATGTATAACTTATGAATTTCGACACGTAATGATCTATTAATTGATGATGATCGGATTCGATATCTTTTTCTAAACCTTCATTTCTGGGGTTTTGTAAAAACAATCTGATAAATGATAGGCATCACATTTGTATGCCTTTCGAAAATAAAAAATCAAAAAAAGAAATTGTGTATCTCATCCTCACCATATATCTTAAAAGATCTAAATGCTGCTTCTCAAGATACATACGTGAAAAATGTTTGCTTGATAAACTCAACATTTGCGTCAGTGAATCAATGTTGGTCTTCTATTTTTATTAAGATGGCTAAATATACTACCGATCACACAAAGTTAAAAAATATAATAAAAGCATTTGCAAATCATATCTGAATTAATGTCACCCATATCAAGGTGCTCTTCTCGAATGGCATGTGACTCTGCAGAACTATGGGTCGGTGAAATCATGTGATAAGGTTTAAATATATCGATATGTCTCTGCAAGCAGGGACGATGATTTTCTGCATTTGCAAAAAATAAAAATTTTGGTCTAAATTTGGATCTAAAATCATAATGCCGGCTATATAATTCTGGCCAAATCACAGAATATTACAGAAACTGCGAATTAAATTAACTGAAATCATGTGATAAAGTTTAATCTTCGTAGAATTCATTATTTACACGTTGATTTTGTTTTCAATAAATAAAATTCTTTAAAAGAGAATAGGTTTTTAACGTGATTATATTTTTTTCCTCTTATGACAAAAACCTTTGAAGTATCTTGTTTTGAAAATAGTGTTTTGAGACTATCGACGAAATCAAACTCGAAATTTGATTGGCTGATGTGACTGATTTACAAATGGGCCTGGTTAGGCAAAGCAGATTAACGCTTTAAAAAAAATTAATATCTTAATTTCAAAGCTCATATCATGATGAATTTCGAAGCTATCTTAATAATTTAATAGTTAAAAAAAAAGCTTAAGATCTAGGCTTTTTTTTACTATTAAATTATTAAGATAGCTTTGAAATTTGCTGAGATACGAGCTTTGAAAGTTAAAGTATTAATTTTTTTTTTTAATGTTAATCTGCCTGATTTCTATTAACAGCAGCCCAAATGTTAACATTAAGGTTATCCACCATTATCCAAAATTTTTTTATCGTAATAATATTCTCAAGAAAGTCAATATCACATTGGGTGTTCGGTCAACTATGTAAATATGTGGTACCATAAAAATAAGTTACAGTATTAAGGATTTTTTCGAATTTTAATAGTAAAGAATGACTTGTATATTTTTAGATTTCTAGAGCGAATTGTTTTACTTTTCTCAATTATTTTAGCATAAATCGATTCTTAAACACGTTTATAACAAAGTTATATCGAAATTTTTTTAACATTAATATTTAAATTTCAAGATGACTCATTACAAAATTCTGATTCATATTGTGAACTATTCTAAGCAAGTATTTCATTGTGGGTGAAAACTCACAATTTTTACGCAACTTTGTTATAAACGTGTTAAGAATCGATTGATGTTAAAACAATTAAGAAAAGTAATGCGATTAGCTCTAGACATCTAAAAGCATACAAGTCATTCTTTATTATATATACAGTGATAAATAATCCTGCTCACTATTCTGATTATCATCCTGATTATTAAATTCGAAAAAAACTTTAATATTAACTTTTATATGGTACCGGATACTGTTTTGTCGAACATAATTGACTGAATATCCCAATGTCACATGATTTCACGGAACCATGTGTCTGCAAGATTATGTGAATACAATTACAACCATAGCATTAGTGTTGTGTAGTTCTAGATCAGCTTTGTATTGGGTTCTGGCGGTTATTGAACAAAATCAAATAAGTAGTCTGTTTGTTAGTGAAAAGGGTAGTGCTAACAAACGAAAATATGATGTGAACGTTCCACGTGATGTAAATACTTGTATCAAGGATGATTGTAAGGGGAACGAATCGTGATTGTGATGAGGGATGATTAATAAAAGTGTATAAGATTGTATAAAGGAGTTAATTAAAAAATGACGTAAATGATTCAATAGAATATACGTGTAATATAAAATAGCAAAGTAAATGAAGTTAGTCTTTTCGCTCTAAATAATATACATAAATCAAAGAAAGCGATATCGCTACACAAGATTCTTTTAAAATTATCTTTTATTTATTTCATACTTTAAGAACTAGCAAAATATAATAATTATATATTTAATCATTCTCATCTATCTATCTTATTGAATTTCTATAAATTTAATGTTCAAACTCAATAATTGTATCTTTATAATTCAAATAGTACTGTATTTAAAGTGTATTCGACATAAACAAAAGTAGCAGAAAATATATACTACCTTATTTATTAATTCTATTATTTCTCTAAAAAATTTTTATGCAAGATTCTGTCCATCCAGTAGATACAGTATTAAGTTGTGAAAGAAGATCAGGAAGTTTATCATTAGGAAAAATCTTTTCAGAGAGAATAGGATCAAGTATGTTTCTTTTTTCTTCAGTAGTTTGATGCTTTTGACATAGTTTTTTTGTATGAACAATACCAGTTTTAGGTGTTTGCTTTTTAATTTTTTTAATTTTAGACTTATCTATTTCTAATAAGTTTTGCCATTTGTAAGTTACAACATTGTGTGCTTGGCGTCCTTTTACATCTCGGGTTTCAGTTTTATAAACATCCTGTTTTAAAATTTTATAGAGATGACCAATACCTTCATCATAGCATAAAAATAGATGTTGAAAGCCTGCTCATGAAGTTCTGGAGCATTAAGAAAAAGTTCATGTGATAAATCAGGTTGAAAAAATGCATCTGATAAATCAGAGATAAGTTTCCAAAGAGATTCTTTTCGGGACTTTATTGTTCTTTCTTCTTTAATATAAAGCTTATCACTAATATATTCAGAAATTAGCAATTCTAGTTGCTCCCTTTCTGCCTGTATAGAAGACATTTGTAACTTTAACTCTTTATTCGTTAATCGTTTTCCGCTAACTTTTTGCTTAATAAATTGAACACCAAATCTTTCTAATGCCTCATCGAACCCAAAAAAATGATCTTCACATGTAATATTAACCAAACATACATGTTTAAGAAGTTTTTGAAAACTAATATCCCTTTCAACATAAGATAAAAAAAAAGAAACAGATCTAGCATAATTGTGTTTTCCTGCAGCAGGAAAAAGTGGCGAAAAAGCAGCAAGGTTTCTAAATTGCATATCGAAATTGCCTTTTCTAATTCCAACCCTATGACTTAACCAATAG